ATAAACAATCAATTGAATGCGTTAATGAATACATTTAAGATGTATTCTCGAACCTCGCATGAAAATATGCAGTAATGTTTCGGTGGATGACTGAGAGCGCTTAGTCCGTATAATTCGATATAAGACTGTTTAGATAAGACAGGAGCACACTTAATGAGCACTGGTGCTAGATGAACGTATTTCTTTAGATAGCTCCCCCTCATTAATGGAACCACTTTGTTCCTTCAGAAACTCGGCTAGGTTACATTCTCATGTGTTCTTGATGCTGGGTGTTGCTTTCTTCATTGATTACCATTGTGCATCAGTAATGTTGGGTGAGGACAGCTTGCATTTCTGTTAATAAAACGATTCGAATGATTAGTTGTATTTGTAAGACTTTCCAATATGTAGTAACTGAATTTCATCAAATTTAATTTACTACAAATAGGTGAACCTTCCAATATTCTTACGAAGTAAAGTTGCATTTCCTTCAAAATTGATCGAAAATTCCAAAAACAAGTAATGAAGGATACGTATAATAGTTTCTCAGTCAAATCGTACACCAAAAATTGAACCATATTAAGAAATCTCTAATAGATCGCTCTCAGAATATCTGTCATAAGTGATCCATTCGTGTCATTTGTCGCAAACGAAAAGCAATTTCCGAAATAACGCCTACCATCCATTCGTCGCTTTTGAATAATACATTAGTTGCTGCAGAACGAAGATTGCAAATATTGTAACAATTGCAAAGTGAAAAAATTTTTTTTTCAAAATGCAGCTGATGAAAAAATTTGTTTATGGTCATAAAATGTATGCACGTATGTGTACATATAGACTTGAAAGCAACTCAGATACCTAAATCCATAGATTTGTAAATAGAATTCACAGCAAGAGGACTAAACTTTGGATAGAGAGTTTCAATGATATTATTTTGCCATTAAGACAAAAACAGACAATGTTTGGCCCTGCCAAAAGATAAGTCCTGACTTTCAAAATTGCAAATTAGCACTTACATACCTCATATGCGTTAGCGTTGTTCATCACTGAACTACTTTGTTCACTCGCTTTTAAGCAAACTCTGAGAGACTTTTGTCTCCAACTTGTATTTAGAGTTACAGAATTTTGTTCGTTGACGACATAAATGTTGTTAGACTAAAATTTGCAAACAAGATCACTTATCGTTAATGTAAAACTAGAGTGTAACTTGGAGATGAATTTTGATACAAGTGCGAATGCCAGCAAATGACAGTCGTATTCAACTCACAAACCACTTCCACATTTCTAGATAATGTGCATTTGCAAGCCAGCATAAATGAACGCTCATTTCAAGAGTGGTTACGTGATAGCATCTTCAAGCCATCAGTAATGCCGTACCTATTTAATGCCCCAAACTTGTATTTTTACTCCATTTTCCATCGCTCTTTACTCTTATTTTATTCATGAAATTTCTCATTACTGTTACAGCCTTCCGCTAAAATGATATTCGTTTTCTGTCAACTCAGTAGCGACATCCACTTGTTGTAGCAACAGGTATTATCAATTTTATTATTATTACTGCTATTATTATTATTATTGCTATTATTACTATTATTGTTATTATTATTATTATTATTATTAGTATTATTATTATTAGTATTATTATTCCAGACCTTTGGATTCGAGATAGCATTTAAGAACTGGGTTCTGGACCCGCAAAGTCAGTCTTGAGCATTCATAAGACCAAAGGGATCGAGTTTGCCTCGAAAAATCACGGACACGAATTCGCTAGGTGGATCACATTTCCATAAGACCCATGGAGATCGGATCAGCTTGCATGAAATCGATGGTTGACGCTATCAATTTTTTCTAGGTAGTGTTTATTGATATCGAATTTTTGCCTGCTTCTTGAATTGATCGAAGTGAACGATATTTTGTTAAAATGGATGAATACGGCGTGGTTATCCATCTAGTTTTAAAGCTGTGTGTTTCATTAGATGGTTGTTTGCTGGTGGATCTTTTTCTATTTCGCTCAACAAAGGAACATGAAAGTCAAATTATTGAGGATGTAGAACTGAACGTGATTGTAATAAAGTTGCTTGGGTGAGTCAAAATAACAATAATTTATGGGAGATAGACCATGCTTTCGAACGATTGCAATAATGATGAGATACATGGAAATCTCACACACAACTGGTCACCAGGCAGCCTACATGATATTACCAAGTTACTGGATTGCTATCACAACATTCTTGGCCCTACCGGTCAGTGGAGTAGGAACATCAGAATAGTTCGACGGAACCGTTATTTAGCGACCTATTAAGTCACTCGCCGTCCCATGTTTACCGTATCTGATATTTCGTGTGGTCATGCCTCGAACTTTCGCATCAAGCTCCGCGTGGTTCGAATTTGGGCTTTAACTCCGTACCACTTTCACGGTCTCGTTCGACATTGATGTCGACGTATGTACCACTAAAATCTTTCAAGTGAAATATGAAAACTGAATCTTTCACACATAAACTGTTGTCACCATAAACTTTTTTCACCAGTGTAAATGCTTCAGTCTTATAGATTAGAAATGTGATCAATTATAACTAATTAAGAATACATAAGTTCACGTTCCTCTACAAAAATAGTCAATACATCGAATGAAATTGCCTAAAACAATTAACTATCAAAATTTTTTTGTGAATGCTAGTGGAAAGGCAAAAATATTTTGCATTGGCATTCATGATCTCAAAATGCGACACTTTTGATAACAATTTGCCAATCCGGCTGGCTGAGCTGATTCCAAAGAACTGAAGTAATCATAAAGCTGAAATCAGGAATCGTGTCTAGCCGAGAGACGGTCTTTTTTTCCTAATAGTAATATTGATACAAATCGCTTCATCCAGCTACTTCGAACAAGAAAAAAAAAGATCTTCTTAGTTGATACTATTCTGATCGAGCTAAAGCCTCATTCGGCTTTAATTTGTATGGACAAGATCAATAATAACGTCATCTATCACTTTATGGCTTATGAGGATCTTATCAACTTCAATTCGGTGGTGTCAAATTTAGCACAAATTGCCAAAATTTGCAAACCTCGAAAATTTTCCGCTTGTTTACTGATATTGTCGACAGCCATTCAGATGTAACCTTATAAACAGTGATGCTTAATTAAAAAAAAAAAAAACTGGCCCAGCCCCGGCTCCGCGTTTGAAAAACTTTCGGCTCTCATTTTACATCTTTGAAATTTCGGCTCCGTCTCCAAATCAGCACTTTTCAATTTTCGGCTCCAGCTTAAGCCCCGCATTCGTAAGATTTCAGTTTCGGCTGCGGCTCCAGCTCAAAGCAATCTAAATTGGAAAAAAAAAACTATCGTACAAGTCTTAGCTCCGGTTACTGAATGTTGTGATTTTTTTTTGGCTTTGGAACGTAGACATCAGTACTTATAGCTGAGCCTGAAATGTTTGCACAGAAGGAAACAAAATAACACTCGAAACAAATTATTGAGGTGATCGCAACGATATGAACTGTTCACGTACACATTAAACAGACCCAAAATTGCTGACAGTAAACAGAGAGTTTGAATGTAGTACTCATTATATTTCCAGTCTCAGGGTTTGATTCTAGAAATATATCGCAACAAAACGTTTTTCATGGCTTTTCTTACAAAACTTGTGTATACGTGATACACATTGCTTTATGATAGTCTTGTATACGACATTCGGTCATGCTATCCGTTTCAAGGCAACTTCTAATGTAGCAGGTGTATTTCATTTACTTGTATTGTTGAATGTAAGCCTAAGAGTGCCTAAAATTCAGACCATTTCGATTAAATGAGGCTTAAAATACATACAGCCGTTAATGGTGTACAAGATTTACCGATGACCCAATATCAACATATAATGCCCGATATTTTTCCATGGCTTTTATCTGACAGTGCGATGCATCGATAATCCTCATTACTGATTATCAGGCCACTTCTAAAATTATATCCAGTTTATTGAAATGCCGAACCATTTCATATGCATCATTTCCGCTGGAAATACAACTGCACAATCAGCCTATCGAGGCGGGGGTGGAGGACAACAGTATATCGCTCTGACTGGTCAGAAAAAAGCACTAGAAAAAAATGGTAAACTTCGATAGATGACTAGAATGGGGGTGAAAGTGCTTCTGTTCATTTCAATTTGGCTCATAAAATGATTCACATACCACTGCTTCACCATTTAAACTAGTGGAATATTGAGGGGATGGTTCTCGGCTTCTAGGCTCTTTTAAACGAGGAGGTGGCTGTAAATTTTTGGTTCTTTCACAGATGACATTTTAAAACGAAAATTCAAAGTTGCTTCTCCGTTCAAAACATCCCAAATGAAAAGTCTTTAGCTTGACATTGAACCGTATCGAAATTAAGGTATGAAGAAATGGAAAGAGTATAAACTCATCGGAGAAATATGAATTAGAGCGAATGGATAGTAGACTGAAGTGATTGAAATATTGGAAATGATGCATAAAAATTAAAAAGGCACTGTGAAGAATGGATAAAGTATGAAAGTTTCGATTGAAAATATCATTCACGACGCGAAAAAATGCACGAGATATTGCTCGTTTTTCACTAATCTGCTCACATGTACGGCTGTACCACTGATTTCAGTAGTGAAAGCCTATAGTCATTTTCAAGTCGTACCTTCGTATCTTGTCAGGAGGATTGCTAGCCGGTCAGTGAACTGGAAAATTCCTATCTTGCTTACTACACATTTACAGACCCGCTTGTATCTCCTATCATGTACCATTTTTACTTAATATTCGTTAAACCGATTATTCCTGCCGGTTTAACGAGTAGATTACGTTTCTTTAATTTATTTCATGCAATATATTTCACTTTACTGCATATAACTATCAATTTTCAAAGTCTCCTCAACTATTTAAACTGAAATTCAACCGATAAGCTGTCAACGCCTCTAATGCTCACTACTTCCCATTTCTTGCGGTGGCAATGCGTTCTGTTGGCAATATATCCAAACCCAGCCCATAAATAAATCGGGAGGTGTTCAGTTCTGTGGACAAACTCTATGAGAATGCGACTAAGGCACTTGTCTGTTTACGAAACTGGGGCCAGTTTCTATATTGTTGGGTCAGACGTCTCTCAGAAAAATTACCATGTCCTCAAAATTGATCGTAAAGACTCTCGAGAGTTAGCAATCGGTGAACCAGACCATCTATATTCAAAAAATGATGTTATGGAATTGCTTGCGACTATCTCAGAGGGTAGTTCGAGTAAGTGCACGTATTATATATGACAACATGGGCTTTATCCATTTATTTTATTACATTGGTTGTGATTTCAATGGAGATAATAATTAAAATTGATTGGTGTGGACTGAGAAAAATAATTTAAATAAAATTTGCAGTAATAATTCAAAGTTAAGTTTAGAAAACATCAATTTTTTTGCAGTCGTGTTCAAGTCACATCTCGAAAAACGGTCTTCAGCCACAGAAAACAAGCACAAAGGATTGATGGAACGTGCCAGTAATGCGTTCGGAATTGTAGGCGTTGTGCGTTTCTTGGAGGGATACTACATCGTGGTGTGTGATTTAATCATCCGATTCGTCATTCATATCGTTTAATTTATTTGCCTATAGATTGCAACGAAAGCTCGCATGGTCGCATCGTTCGGTTATCATTCAATCTACAAAATTGAGGAAGTGGCCATGGTGCAGGTTGCTGCCGACGGTCCATCAACCAATCCGGACGAACAACGATATTTGAAAATTTTTCAGGTTATCAACCTTACTTGATTAAGACGTCACTTTATTCATATTCCATTCTCCAAATGTACGCATTGCACTTCACAATTGCAAAAAATTTTCTTGGTGAACTCTCAACATGAAATGTTTGTTTGCAGTCGGTCGATTTGACAACGGATTTTTATTTCTCTTATACATATGATCTAAGTAGAACACTGCAAGAGAACGTGACGCAAAAATGCGGCTGGCGTGGTGGAGTGCAAAACGAATCAACAACGACGTTCAGTGCTGATCAGAAATTTGTGTGGAATCGTTTTTTACTGGAACCACTTCGCAGCAGATTTGTTTCTGAACAGTGGATGCTCGAGATTGTGCATGGATATGTCGGTTTGTTGTGTATATTGATCACTTCCATTCCTTCACCTTCACAAACATTCTAGCAGTGTTCAGATCTGTGAATTATTACTAGCCTCTACTGTGATGTTAATTGCGTTTTGTATATATAAGCTTCCGACAAGAAAATTTTAAAGGATTTTTTCGGGTTTTTACATTCAAATTTCACTTCAAAACATGTATCTACGTATAGTCATATTCAGGACAACAAATAATTGAACTACCATGTGCACGATTGTCATTAACTTTGATTGGAAGACGATCGTCTGAATATGCCGGAACACGCTACCTCAAACGTGGTTCCAATTTCCAAGGTTTATTTTTTCGCGATTTCCGTGAAATTCTACCGTGCTATTTTACAGCAGCAGCAGCAGTCATGAAATAATATTTCCACGCACGTGAATAATATTTTCATTATAATCATGTAATAGATACTAATGTTCTTGTATTGTTCTTTTAACAAAACCAGTAAAAAATACTGTATATTGTTGAACCTCTCAGCATACGTTTGGAAAATTCGCATGAGTGATACACAAAATATAATTGAGTTTGAATCGTAATCTTGCAATGCTTTTCGTAACTGTTAATTTGATTTTATAAAATAAACTGTTTAAAGCAGCGAGCAACTTGGGTGAGTTAGTGATCATCGTGTGTTCGCAGGTAATGTAGCGAACGATGTGGAAACGGAGCAAATAATATGGGATATGTGGTCGTCACCGAATTTCCTTTATGGTAAATTTAGCGCGTTTGTGCAGCGTCGTGGATCGGTTCCGCTTTTGTGGAGTCAAGATCCAGCAACGAGAGGCGTTGTCGGTAAACCACTCATTTCGATTGACATCAATGAACCGACTGCACAAACTGCTGCAGCTCATTTCCGGTGAAATGCATACTCATTGCATTCATTGCCTCATTTCATCCATTGATTATTTCATCAAGTTATTCGGTTGATTATTATTCAATTTCAGTGAACTCAGGAAGAAATATGGCTTCCCAATTATTGTGATGAATCTTGTAAAGAGACGTGAAAAACGACGACACGAAGCTGTTCTTCACGATCAGTTTCTGAAGGTTTTTTAATGAATCATTTTCGCCGATAGCTGTAAGTGCGCCCTCATTTGCATTCATTTTCAGTATATGTGTATGCAAGCGATCATCTAGAATTGTTGAATATTTGCGTTTCGCGTCTTTCAGTGGTTCGAATTCGTGAGTGGTTTACACCAAATGGGTAGACAAGCATTGTGATGAAAGATCGATTAGATCACAACAAAAATTGGATTGACAAGATAATTGAAGAGGTTCTGGCTTGAAAATGTGAACTTATAGGCGGTGAAATATTTGAATCAGTTCACGCCTGGACCTGAACGGATTGCTTATTTAAGTTTCGATGTGGCTCGTTGTAATCGAACTGGTCTTGTAATCAACAGACTTGAAGAAGTTGGATTAAGATGTGTCATTCGTCATGGATGGTTTCAGGTTCATTATAATTATTTTAAATTTAATTTGTGCATAAGTAGTCATGTTTCAACATTGCAGACGTTTCCTCGTCTCTATTGCCGTCTAGTTCGTCCGAATGCATTGCTATCGGATTATGAACCACAAATACATTCAAATGGTCGATTTTTGTTGCAACATGGTATATCAAGAACTAATTGTGTGGACTGCCTTGATCGAACAAACGTTGCACAATTTGTGATTGGTACCTTTTTTGTGACTTGGTGAAGAGAAGGGATAGAATATGCTGAGTTCCGTTCGAAAAGAGTAAAAGCAATTCTGGTTTTGTTGTGCCTCTGCTCTGTGTGACAGAGAAACTTGTTCAAAATGCAGTAATGTTTGCATCTGATGTATCAAGCTATTAATTTCATCATCAATTTGCTCATAAATGGAGGAAAGAAGATGCTCGTTTGATGTTACCAATATTTGAAACAGTTAGAAACATTTATTGGTTTCCTCTCAATTCCCTTCATGAAAATATCAATTTATACTTCCCAGATAACGTGGATAATTTATTTCGTTTCCATTAGGCATTTTAATTCATCGGTATTTCATTCGTATCAAATGATCGTTACTAAGTGTTTAGTGAAATTATTTGGTTCGTTGTTTCAGGCAAAGTGGCACTTGGTTTGCAACTTTATTCGATGGGTTTTGTAGATGAGCCAGTTCTTTTGCTATCATCCGAAGTATGCAGAATATATGAAGATTTGATGGATGAACATGGCGATAAGCTAGCTCTGCAGTACGCTGGATCACAACTTGTTCATTCAATCAAAACTTACAAAAAGATATCAGCCTTTCAGGTATTGTTTTTTGTTGGGGCTTTAACCGATGAATGCACTTAAACTTAAGCTTAAGATATCCGTACTCCTCCATCCAAATTTCATCTGTTTTTAATTCACACTACAGTTTTGTTCACATATATGCCTGCTCAGTTGACTCACCCCATCAATCAAGAAATGCTTTGCGTTGAATTCAGGTATTGCAAAATATAATTTCATTGTGTTCTTGAAGGAACGGAGTCGCGATGTAATTCAAACGTTGTCAAGATATTACAGTAATACGTTTGGAGACTACGACAAACAGAATGCGATCAATTTATTTCTTGGTGTTTTCAGGTAGGTATTTTGCAGTTGAATTGAAGCATGTGAGCAGCAAGGGGTCAGTTCAGATCGTACTCTTGACGAGTAGGAAGAAATGCAGTTAAACAATTGTTTTATTTTATTTTATTTTATCACCAGTGCAATATTTAATCATTTATCATTTGTGTACATAATCTTCCTTGACAGTACAATTTTTTTCTGTTTACAAGAGTTGTTTCCCCATCGTTTAATTCTCTGGAAATTTTTTAAGACCAGGTTCTTTACCGCATCTATGGGATTATGCGACCGATTATTATTTGCATTTTCCAATCGGTTATCGTAACACAGCTGATTATTGTCAGTGGTATGTCGGCAGTGAACAGGAAGTTTGTCCACCAAATGGCCGTCGCAAAATCACTGTTGATTCGGATATATCCAATGGTGAGCACATCCTCATAACTGTATCTCAGATTTTCTTCTCGTTATTTATTTCGGCATTTTCTTGACCGGTCAGTTTGCAGGTGTCCATTGACAAATGGGATTACTGCATAGTTTAACTGATTTCTTGATTCTGAATTGCCGATAGCGATAAGCAAAAAGCGTTTATCACTAATTGGCGGAATCATAGCAAAAATATTTTTTCGACTTTTTTTTACTGCAGCTTGTACAAATTTCTTGCTCGAGAAGTCGTATTGATTTTCTGAGAGACAAAAGATTTCGCATCAGATGCTCATGATTCAGATTCAATTACAACACAAGTGTTGTTGAATGAAGATGCTTTCGATGAATACTACCGTGTTTGGGAATTAAGCAATTTCGATGTTTTAATACGCGAGCAACGCGACCTTCAAAAGTCTGTTACGGTGGATGGCATTAATCAAAGTGTTGCGCAGAGTTACTCTTTCGCAAAGCTGTGGAAAACGGTTCGTATATTCATTTTAGCATTTTAATTGATGCAATTTTCGCATCTGCGAACAAGTTGCACCCAGCTGTAAGCTGAAAGTCGTTCTCAGATACGATAAACGAATTAATTGACATTTCAATGTCTTGGCTATCAAATCTGATTAAGCACTAAATGCTAAATGGAAACAAGTATTGCATATTTGGTAGTCAAGTGGTGAAGAGTGCTCACTCATTGTTGCAGCAAGAAACATCTGGACAGAGTAAATCTAGTGGAGTTAAACAAAAGAAGAGTACGCTAGCGGATGATGACGATGATGAAGATGAACCCATTGTAAAATGGGATGCTGAAGTGCATTATGAACCTGAATTCGATGCGGTGCGTTTAATTTCAAATCGTTGAATTTTAGTTACCGATCGGTTGGTCATTAACGTACGTTTTAATAATGTTTCCCTGTTGAATCATTTCATCAGTATGTTCTTATTATATTACTGTAAGCGAACACTGTTCATTAGGTTATAAGTGTGTCTCGTGGGTAAACAATTGGATTATAGAGAGTAGAGGCTGGGTTATGTTGCTCATCGTTTTGCAGATTACGCTTCGTAATCGTCATCAGAACGATTGGAATCGTGCGAAAATGAGGCGATCAGTTGAAATTGTCCCAGGTAGAATATAAATTAATTTGAATATCAACAGTGCAAGAATGAGTGATGCTTATGATAAGTGTGTGTTTAGTTAACGAAAACAAAGGACTATCAACTGGTTTGAAATCAACAATGGAGACGTATGGTTTTACGTTGAAGATGCCTAATGACGTTGACATGCAAAAATACTCGAAGTATGTTCGACTTGGAGGAACCAAACTTGATTCTGAAGTAAGTATTCTTATGGCAAGAATTTGTATCAAGCTCTGTTGAATTATATGAATGTTCTATTTGTAGAATATTGAAGCTTTTCATCCAGTGCATTTGTTGTATACATTTTTATTTGCTGTCTTCGATAATCATGAAAATCTCTTGAAGGACTGGCATGCTTTTAAACCGAAACGTCTGAGTGATTTAAGCGTGCCTGGTATTGAAGATTATAGACGTTTGAAGCCTCTCTCTGTGTATACGGCCGACAACATATTCCAGGTTTGTCTATTTCGTTAATTGCTTGCATAAGGAGATAGAAACGAGAGAGAGAGGTAAGGATTTAAGTTAGTTGTTTTCTTTTAGAAACTCAACAATTTAGTCTAATTTTTTCACTTATCTGAATCATTTTAATATTATCACTGGTATTGAATTGGAGTGCCATAATTTATTTCAAGACTGAAATGCCTGAAGTATCGAAAGCGTCGATGCGAGTTTATGTGGAAACTGCCAACTTCACAGGCCATGGTACTAAGGCACCATCAAGTTCGGACATGAATTCATATGAACGCTATTCACCTGCAAAGCGCCATTCAGCTTCGAATTTGCTTCACACGTCGATCAAAATTGATGACCGTGCTCATCAAATAGTGGTATTTTGACGCACAAATGTAACCACAATGAGTAGTTGTTATCTTGCAGTAATTGTTATTTTGCTATATCCTGATGCCACCAATATTTTACGGTTTATTCCCACGTTTAACGGGTCCATTTTTCCCAACCGCTTCGATTCTCGTTCTATGCCGCACTTGTGATGTATTTTATCACACTCACGTATTGTATCTTCTAAGGGTGTTTGAAACTTCTCGTACTTCAGGACTGCGTCATAATTCGTACATTTGCATATGTTTAGCTATTTGTAAATCGTTACTAATTCCTCAATAAACTGTTAAAGTGGACTTTCCGAGATTTAGTGTGGATTTGTCGAGGCTTTTAACCATCGAAGGATGAAAATCTATTTTTGCAGTTCACGTGTTTTCGAAACCAGAGTACCATTTCGAATCAATGATGTGTTTTGCTCAACATTGAAATTTGTGATCAATTCATCACTGAAAACTTTCAGCTCCATGAATGTTTTGCATTCATTTTGCATTTCTATAAGAATCTGCATAGAAACTAACAAATTTTGAATTTATTCAGTCACCACTGGATGCTTTATCAGTGACAAGAAAAGTCATGATATATTTCTTTGAACGCATCTTCGTGGTCGGTAGATATTTTTATGGGAAGCAATCGTCAGCTTTTATCTTCTTCATTGAAGGTGTTTTCAGCGTATGCTTATTTTTTGTTGTGGTGAGGATGGTAGTGCATCGTGCTTCAAGGTTCCTATTTGGTATGCCACAGTCAGGTGCTGGCACAAAAAGCCTTTCTTATCATTTAATGCTCGAAAAGGGTCTCATCCATCCTAATGCCAAAGGATTGTTTTCGATTTTACCACTTGGTAAATTCTTTTATATGTATTTTTTTTTGCACGAAACGTTGTTCAGTTTCTTTGATCAAAGATTTTCCTTTCTCATAATAATCAAAACCTTTCCACTTAGCTTCGTTTCTTATTAATTGATAACAGAAGCAGTACGTGTGACTGTAGTCAGAGGTGAAATTTTCGCATTTCATTGAATAATGCAGTAAACTTTTGCGGCTTATTTATTCATCTCTGGATTTCTGGAAGTGTAAGTGTGGAGAATGAAGTAATTGAATCCGTTACAGTTACTGGTATGTTTTGCATCGAAATCAATGTGATATTGAAATGTTAAAAATAACTGATGAACTGTATCAGTGAATTTTGCTGAGGATAGGACATATGAGCTGTTGTGTAAGAAATCACATGGAACGTTCGATTACGAATCGTGCCAAACATTTTACGACGAGAATGTAATAAAGAAGAAATATCGAACTAAAATTTGCGCTCAATGCTTTCAATTGAATTATTTGTTTTGGGTCAGCGTGTAGTCGATAAGCTGGTACGTTTAATCGAGAATGAACTGAATATGATTGGTGCACTCAAAATGAGTATGCCGACATTGGGTGCAAAGGAATTATGGACCAAAGTTGATCGGTGGCAAAAACTCGGATCTGAAATGTTCCGTTTGGTCGATCGAGAAGGAAAACATTTTTGCTTACAACCAACCGCCGAAGAAATGATCACTCAAATCATCACACAGCGAGGTTTTACTTCACTAATTTTGTTCGTACAACACAAATTTGTGATGATTACTTCACGCTGATGACGAGAACTCCGTTCGCATGAAAATAGTTTGTGCTGCTCTCTCGATTAAAGTCTCTAAACGGACATTCTCTGATCTGTTTCAATACTTCCATATATCTAGAATTGTTTCTCAAATAAATGTCCGCGAAAACAATCATCGATATCGTTGAAGGTATTCATCGAAAGACGATGTTTCCATTCATGATATATCAAACAACACCGAAGTTTCGCGATGAAATGAATCCAAGATTTGGTTTACTTAGAAGCAGAGAATTTTTAATGAACGACCTATATACGTTTGATAAATGTCGAGAAGATGCTCTCAAAACTTATGATCTCATATCGCGGGTAACGTTCTTCGTTATTTGTATTCATTTCTGAATAGAGTTGAGGAAAAAACTGGTTTCCATTCCTTTTCAAGCCAATCAAGTTATGTTGCTACGCCACAATTCTCTTTAACCTTTGTAGAAACTGTCTTGAAACAATAAAAAATTAAATTTACTCGTATCGCACTGAATGGTATGGGTAAATTATAACTGATGATTGAATAGTCACAGTTGTGATAGTGTAGTTTTTAGGTGTATCACCGGATATTATGCGATAAACTAGGATTTAATGTGTATGTGGTACGGGCAGATTCTGGTAATATCGGTGGTTCGATATCACATGAGTATCATTTGCCGAGCGATTCGGGTGAAGATTCTATCGCATATTGTGAAAGGTGTCGTGAAGGTTCATTGGTTATCTATTCGTTCCGGTTAAATTTGGTTGAGAATTCCGTGCCGGCAAAAGATTGTTTGGAATGCTGATTAGGATATCAACTATGTGCATATAAAACTTCAGAAAATGAGTCACTGGATTACTGATACTTTCGCTAGTTTCTTTGTTTACGTGAATAAATTTATCGCTATGAAAAAGAATGAATGGTAATCGTTTTTGGGGCTATAATGATTTAATGAGATTCTTTATGGATTTGTCAGTTTAGCGCTGTGATATCTACTATATTTGAAGGTGTGAATTCGGAATTATTTCGACGTGGTGAAAAACCATGTTCACAGTGTGATGAGCTTTCGATGAAGACGATTTCGTCAGTTGAAATCGGACATACTTTCCAATTGGGGGACTTGTTCACAATGTCTTTCGGAGGACGCCGTCATGAAGAAGCGATGAGAATGAATTGTTTCGGACTTGGAATTGGCTAGCTGTTTATCTTTTCTTTAACGAATCGCTTTCTTAATCGGCTCATTTTCAAAAAGATTCTCTCCAGTGTTGATTCAACCGCTGTTATGTAATGATGCTTTAGTCGATTCCCAAACTATGCAAGAATCTTTAAATTTGCAAGCAGTCGTAATCACTGATTACCAGGAGGTTTATTGATGCAGTTTAGGACGGCTAATCGCAGCTGCAATTGATGTGCTATCACCAGACAATAAGTCGTTGCGTTTACCATCAATGATACAACCCTTTAAAATGGTCGTTATACCTCCATCTGACTCGTCATCACCTCATAATTATCCTCAGTTATCGTCATATGCAGAATGTTTGGTTGAAGAACTCGATTCAGTTCCAGCTTTGAACAATGAAATATTATTAGATGATCGAACGAATTATTCAGTCGGAAAACGGCTTCTTCTCGCATCGCAACTCGGTTGTTCGCACATTTGTCTGATTACTTTTCCGAAAATTTAACCATTATCCACATTTTGAACTAGTTTTACTGTCAAGCAGAATGCTTAAGATGCGTTCGAAACTGTGTTTGCGATCCACCGGTCTCATTGTGCATTGATAACTGAAGTACTTCTATAGTCAGATGTTGATAACTCGGGTCCTTCTATTACTAATAATTGAAATGAAATTATTTTGACGATTACTGAATATCACACTGATCCTTCAATAGATGAATGCTTTGAGTTATGTGAAAGTCAATATTTCGCAATTCAGATTTCGAAGTTATTTTCTTTGTTTGTTCTAGGCATATCTCATATTGTCGTCGTGGGTGCGAAATCGGCAAGTCTTTTCACATATCGTCCATTGGTCGAGTATTTTACTGTGGAGAGTTATCAGTCTGATCCTATAGATATGGGAATGATTTCACATGAGGAACTCTTCGAAATAGTTCAGAACATTTGAGCAACGTTTCCATCCACGACTGGTTGCAATGAACTGATTGTGTATGTTCGGTGAAATACTCCTCGTTCATTCGATGACATGGAATGGCATTCGGGCAGCCGTGTGTTTATTAGTAAACACTTCATGTGGTTGCGAAAACATCTATTGGTACAATCAATATTCATGTGATCGATACACTAACAGTTGTAAATGGCAAGTCGTTTATAAAAAGCGAGATTATCGATCATATTCTTGTGTTCATGCTGGCTCGTTTGAGTAGTTATGTTCTTGTTTGTTTGTTGTTTTTGTTTTTAAAATGAATTTCGATTTGATAAACCCACTATTTTCTGCGTTAAACTGTGCGTGCATGACTTTTGTAATCGTTATGCAAACTGCGTTGTATTATTGTTGGCTTTAAATATACACATTCATGCAATAATAAGATTTTTATTTATCGAATCATGTTAATTGAAGGCAACTTTCGATTTTCCTTTCACATATCCAGTTGAATATGTTTGACATTTTGTAATGAGGGAATGAGCAAACATTTCTTCAATTCAAACTTAAAATTTAAGAGATAGTCTCACTTTCATTGTGTTACTAATGTCGGCAACAATATAAATGTTCTGACATATTTTCATGATAAAAATGTATGGAGCCGAAGATGTATGGATTGATTTTTTAAAATCGTAATTTTTTTTGTTATTTCAAGCCTAGGTGATGTTTTCCCACTTATTTCATTATTTATATTCAACTTGGACAAGATCACTGGCATTCTTGACAGCCACTGTTAGCTATAGGAGAATCACTAGTGATTGTAATGGATCAAAGTTTGGTAGGTAAAGTCCGACGCAATTCGGTCTCGAAAAATGAATTCGGTAGAAATTGCTCATTAATAATATTTTTATGCTCGGTTTACAAATACAATTCGTTCCAACAATTTGTTCATAAAGTGAAGCATTGTAATGAATGTAAAATGAATTAAATCACTGCAGCCGACGCAATTTTTCCTATTGTCACTTTTCTTCGATAACGTAGATTTTCAACAACAGTTTCGTGTCCTGCAGTTCAGAAAAGTGAGAACATGATGTTTATTTGGGGTCAGAGCCATCTGGTTTAATAACTTTTGGAGAGATTTCTGATGTCTTGGAAGTTTTGATTTCTTATATTTTCAGTATCTCGGAAAACTTTCCACTAGGAGCTGGTTGTGAATTTCGATTGCCTAATCTCATCAGGACCCTATTGATGAAATCTGCTTCCAGTCCGAAATTCTTTACAAACAAAACGATTCCTTCAGTGTCATTGCAGAGGACCTATCACTTCTCTTCTGTCAGAGTAGAACAACACTTCTTCAATCAAGAAATTGCCTTGAAACTCAAAAGTGGCTCAAATACTTGATAAGTGCTGTTCAATAAATCGAACGGTACCAAGAAACAGTCAAAATGTTTTTACGAATCCTCTTATACATCTGATGTTGCACGAGAGCTTGACAAGGCATTCCCTGACCTAGTTAAAGAAACTTAGTAGTGTTCAGAAATCGTAATAAATTTTTGCCGAAAATTTCTTTCATAGCCCGAATTGTTCGTCAGTCAAAGCGTTCATAAATTGAGCTTTCACTCTATAAACGTTTGACGTTTTCAACCGTATTTGAGTAACGTATGAACAAAACAAAATTTTAATAGTCTTGAATAAGATCAGGGCTTTGGTTTGAAAATCTGAAACAAAAATTATATTTACACGTATTATTGTGACAGAAACGCCTGATAGCTCAATATTGACGGCTGATATGTCACTATTATTATCTCGAAACAGTTCTTCTGAAGAAGATTTCCGTTCTAAGTAGAAAGATGTTTTAAGAGAACTCTTAGCTTTAGGCACAGCTTATTGCAAGTCCAACGGTCGTAAGTTGGCGATTACCTGTATTCTAATAAAATTTTGATATATAACTGCCTCGAATCGTTGGAATTTCTGTTTACAAAAATGAAAAACAAATCGTTGGGATATATGTTTCCAAACAGTTCTTTAGAAAGTGAAGAAAATACTTTTCTAGATCATAAGTATGAACGTGTTAAGTTCGTAAGAGTTTCGATAAATTATGGACCCCTTTAAACGAGCAAAACTGTCAGTCTTGTGTATTCTGAAATTTTCGGAGATTTCGTAAAACTTAGTTTTTGATCAGATTGCGACCGAAATTCCGGAATCTTAAGAACTTGGTTCGGTCGAATTCCGGGTTCCGACCTTACATCAAATTTCTTACAGCTATCATCACTAGAGATCACCCTGCCTTTTTACAAAAACATTGAATCATCATTGTGGGATTAATCAATCGCAGTAGCAGCGAATTCGTTGAACTGTCTGAATATTCGTACATGGATTTCGTGACTGATTGTGAACGGTTAGTATCAGTTGATAGGAACATCGCAATAAGATGATTTCTCAAATTATTTACGTTCCTTCAGCCACTGGTTCAATGATCAGCCGTTTTCCGAATTTATGATTACTATGCGTTTGTGTTTGTGTGGGGATTAATTTGCAAAACGCAATACGAACACTCCACATCGAATAGCTGTTGTTCTTTACCATAAAGACCATGTTCGTTTATTATTTTGTATCAGATTTAATTTATCTTCTGATAAGGCACCAACAGTCTAAACTAACCGTACACATACACATATAACGAAATATATTACAGTATTTACATTATTCCAGATAACAAATGTTAAGAATAAATCAAGCTATAAATGCTCCATCAATAATACACAAATATTCTCCCAGACCGATGAGGAATTTCATTTGCATCTATTTATTGCTGTTTGTATTCTAGGTATATACCAGTCAACAAACAAGAATGAATATTTGCTAAGTTGTCGAAATTCTAAAATATGTTCAGAATGCAAAAATGACGGAATATTTGAACTGACTTTTGTCAGTTCAAATATTTCATCATATTCGATCAATGATATAAAATGAAGTGAGCATTTATGCTTGAATCCTTTAAGAAGACAACCGAAAGAGAGGAATAAACCCGCAACAATGTAAACTCAGACAGTAAATAAAAATGCTCTGTAGAAATGTTCACGAATACGACGCGCTTAACGACACACGCACAATGCTTCTTAAGCCAAGGGTTGATGTCCTATAATGCTTATTGGTATCATAGGAATAATACTGCTTATCAAAAATTATAACCTACACCTGCAATAGTAATGGTCGGATTAAAGATAACAACAGCGGTAATGATAACAACAATGATACTTATGTTGAAAAGACATCATTTTCAGAAGTTGCACTATAAAATCAAAAGCAGCATATTCTTATAAGTAAATAACATACATTCACAACATCTATTTTTATAACGGCAAGAATGAAATAAAATCACGCAATATAGAAAAAACTTTTTTGAAGATCAACTGTAATACAAGTATGAGCCATTGGTACTGAAGCGAGTTAAATTGTAGATGTCAAATGAAGTTTCATATCGGGGAAATATCAACGAAAAATACTAGAGTGCCGTTTGCTGAAGCAATTATGTAGTTAGAAACCGAAAACGAGTCCCACTTCTTGACACTGCCTCACGCTGGGCTACTATTACATGAAAGTTTTTTCGAGTCGAACTTAAACAATTACATACTGTCGTTCTCTTCAAAACATCTGACTGCTTTCTAATCCGTAGAATATCTCAGAGAATCAGATCACAACGATCTAAGCCAAAAAAATACACAATAATTCAATCTTCCCAGTCGGTCATTTCATAATCACTTTCCATCCCGAGACTAGCCAATGGTATTGGACGTACGAGATCGCCTTTGATCACCCGTATTTCTCGTTTAGCTGATTTCGAATAAACGTGTGGCGACTGCATCGGAGCTGCCATTCGACCGAGTACTTCTTGACTGTTCATCGTTTCTTGTATATAAAACACTTCAACGCCTTAATATACTCACATTCAATTCACGATAATACAAATGGTATATAAACGTTTTTTCATAAATGATTCGTACCAGTAGATGATGCAAAAACATTGAAATAATGAAATTTCATTCAAATTTTAAAAAAAGCGAACCCACAAAAGTTATCAGTAAAGGAAAAGGTATACCTGAGTAGTGATGTCGGCGAAGTCTAGATGCTTTCTCAATAGGTGACTTTCTTACAGATTCCTCAATAGCGAATATTGTGAGATGACGTGAAAACAACGATGTGATGGATATCTTGCGTTCATTTGAAGTGGTGACAGTTGTTGTTTGGCTTGCATCTGAACCATTCGATGCTGAAGACGGCCTGCGAACGGTTTCATTCGACATATCTGTACTATTGCTTGCAATACCTTCAACAGACTGTATTTTTTAGAATATTAGAATGTTTCAACACTCTTCTTTAAAATCACTCGGTTGGCGTTAAAAGGTAACTTCACATGAGAAAAGATTCAAGCAATGTTAGGTTAAACGTTCCTGGACAGATGCAAAAATACACACTTAAAGTTACGGCAAACTGAACGTTGATTTTCTGTGAAGGGATTTCAATCAGTTTTTGTTGCTAAAGATTTCAAAACACCAGAATTTACTCCGACAACAGTGACAACTTGCCAGTTACACTCGTGGGTAACTCTCATAAAACTCACTGTGTGCAGAGTCGCTAAGAATACTCTGTTTCGAACCAAGAACACCTTGCTTCGAACTTAACCATGATGTTTTTCTCGAGGCAGGCTTTTCTTCAGGTTGTGGCATACCGAGCTGAGCGAAGTTTGGTATACGGTTCACGTTATGATGTATTCTAAAGTTAAGTTATCAAACCGAGAAATAAATGAATGAATGAAAGCGAAGAAAATATCTTGATTTAAACAAATGCATATTTAAATTGAATCAATAGGATAAGGTAAGCCGCACTCTTGGTATTAATTTAGCAAGAATAGCACTTTTGCTACATGATGATCAATACTCGAAAGATGGAGTGATGCAGTTAGTTTCGAAAACACTGATGAAAAGATAAGGCGGAACTGAACAAACCTCAGGAGCCGAATATGATGTGGCATTCGGAACTCGATGTATCGAAAAAGAACAGCCGAATTGTAATGTCGAAATCCGAGAGAAGTTAGCGGAAGCCGACTGAATAAGCGGCTGACGAGTGGATCAATATCGGTCGAATCACTCAAGTGAAAAATATGCGGAGGAATATCAAGATCTTCTAATTTCTGCAAAAGGGAACGATATGAAACCATTGCTGATTACTTTTCACTCACAACATAATTTATAGTGCCTGTCGTTCTTCAGTCGCACAAATATACTGCACTTTTAACAACTGCATTAATGGTTTGCGAAAGCTGTTTGATACCTCCAATCGACTTAAAGCTTTCACGTATCGCTCTCGTCTCGTTTCTTTACCGTATGTGCAACCAATCGCAAGACGTTTTAATGAGCACTTTAATTTTTCACATAAACAATCCATTACCCGCCATGGAATGTAAAGACCTGAAGAAATACGCCTGCATCGACATGAACGAAATATTCTGGTAAAATAAAATATTTACTTATGATTACGGAAATTAATCATTTTTACGAGGTCGAGACACAGTAAGATACACAATTCAAAAGAGCAATTAATAACTTGAATGAAGTGAACTCACCAGTAATTTGAAGATTTTTAATAGGTCCTTTGATGCATTCAGCTAGTGAACGAAATAATTCAGACTTGCACTGCGTAGAAGATTGCGGCGTTGAGTCAAGTATAAGAATTGTATCGAGATCAGGAAGAGATAACAACGAAGTGAGAAGACGTTTTGATGGACTAAAAACATTCCAAATGGAGTTCAAATGGGGAAAGCATAGATAAACAAGAACTGATCATGCATTTTTAACAGGCCAACGCAGTCAGCTCAAACGTAATCAGAAAAACAAGATTTATCGATTGGATTGAATTCTCTGACATGATAACGGAAGGAGATGACGAGATTCTCTTCGAATATGGATACTGTAAGTTACATACTAAAGGTTGCTGGGTGCACCACATAAAAAAATAGTCTTTCTCACTTTTTCTTATCGAAGTATCGTGAACAATTCCATACCCTGAGTATACTCACTGTGGTGAGCCGAGAAACTATACAACTGAATTCTTCACTTAAACAACAATCCCATATTGTCAGTTCGTATAAACAAGACAACCTGAAATCAGATATAATTGTTAACTAATACAGTAGAATTCATACACAATGCAGTTGGGAAAATGCGAAGCATACAGTGTGTCGTGGAATTTTGATTAAACGAAAAATTTTCGATTAAAATAAAAATAAGGAATCAGTATTGATGAATAAAAAAGCGAATAAGATAACGATATCTATGACAAAAGTGCGATGATGAAAATACTAATGCGCGACCGTCTACAAAACGCATCAGATGAAATGAATCGGGAGTACAATTCAGATGATCAGGATAAAACCATAGCAATCATCATTTCAAGGAAAAACGATTACACCGATGAGCATTCTCTAAAAACCGCTGGATATTATTATGATTTCCAACCTGGAGAGCATATGTTTGAGGGCTTTATTACTATACTTATCAACATTCGTTCTCAAACGATACGATTGCCCATTGCAATAAGTTAAACGAATTCGGTATGAAGCCTTCGTATTCTTTGAGACAGAAACAAGTGGGAATGTACATCGAGTTTGTTGTAGAATATCACCTTCAATTGAGTTATCTCTATAAGTCGCAACATCTGAAGGTAACTTTTGACTCATAATGGTATGGTTTTCGTTTGCAGTTAAATCGAACGACAAGTGATTTCATTTCGGTACAGTGCAGCTTAACGTAAGAATGCTTTTTTATGACATTTTGAGATAAGCTTCGCTTTTCTTCATGCGTAATGAATTATAAATTGGCACGGCACGCAGCATTGGATTCGTCGAAGATTCAACCTAAGTGATGAATGCTTTGGTTAAAAAAAAACACTCGGATCGGAGTTGATAAACCATCAGCATATACATACTAAGTTATCTCTATAGGTCGCAACAATGATGTATTTTGAAGTCATATTGATAACTCGAAAAGATTAAGAATGAGAAAAAGAACAGAACATCTGATTAACATACCATATCCATAGCCTTCGAATCGTATCTCTATCGAATAAACATCTTTCCACTTCGAGAACATCTCACGAAAACGCTTACAACTTAACTGTACACTGAGGCGATCAATGGGTTTGAGCCATGATGAGATACGTAATAATGCCTCATCAGGAAGCTTGTTCATCTCGATTCTCAGCGAGAACATTAACAAAGCGAATGCATCAATTGCAAAAACTTCAATATGCTGATGAATATAAATCATTCAGTTTTTTTACACAGAAGTATTAAAATCGGAGGCAATAATATCGAATATTATTTGCAGTTGAGCAGCGACAAGCATACGTTACGTAAACAACATCACGAAAAAAAACATTTCAAGTAACTTGTTTTGCTGTCTTTACCGATAGTCAACAAGACACATATTCTACATGATGTTATTCACTGAAGTGGAAGAAACAAAAACAAAAGATTCAGTGTTGAACTGACATGAGCGAAGTGTAAACGGATGCGTCCATGCAAAAGCATGAAAATCGAATGAAAAATCCAGCATTTAGCAATCATACTTGTTTTTAAAAACGAATTTGTCTTGAAGTGAAATCAAATGTGTAATGAAAGTGAACGAGTACTCAAACTGCAACACGAAACGAAATGAGCAATGGCTCTGACCCCATGAAGTGTATCACTGTAAAGAACATTAACAGATGCACACACCCACACAAATTTGCGTGATTCTGTTTCTACGCACTTGGTCCAGGAGAGAAATAAACGTACAGAATTAAATTTGGGATATATCAAACTGGTTTTAATTCACCTTCCCATTATCCAGATATGCCGATATGCTTACGGATATCACCTAAAATTGGATCAATTGTTACTCGCTATGCTAAACATCTACAGAATATCTTAACTCTGCAGTGTGAAATCAGTATTAAAACTACGAGAAAATTATTCTGCAGCAGGCAACAATATTTGAGTGGATCTAGCAGAGCAGTGAGTTCATTATAACAGAATGAATTATTGAAGGCTTTAATGAACAGACTTCAATAAAGAAATAGAAAACTTATTCACATATACGAAATTTGGGAGAAGCTATGGAGATATAGCAGCAAAAATGCAGATATAATTGCAAAAAAAAGGAAATACTGTTGATTGAAGAAAAAGAGATTTGTGGAAGGGAAAAAGGCGCTTGAAAGTAAAATGACAATATACCAACGAGCGATTAAGCGCTTGCAGATAAAACTGAAATATGTTCGCTGAATAAACGCAAAGCATTGCTTGTTATCGCAACACTGGAATAAACTATTTACGACACAACCTTACGATTAGTGCATTGCACTTCTTGATGGAAAGAAGACAAATTGTGCAAACGGACTTGCGAAAACGGACGACTCTTTTGATAAATCTAGTAATTAAAAGAATATTTGTAGCGAATGTGATATGGCTGCAGTCAACGATGCTTTATGACCACAAATATGGCTCAAATTTGCAAATTGTCGTCGACTTCACTTTTGGTTTCTGACTGAGCTGGTTCAGTCTAACAAGATAGAATTAACACTGATATCTGTTCAATAATACAGTATCATTGAGGGAAAATGGATAAATCATGTATGGAAAAGACCAAGTTTGAAAATTTGAAAATGAAAAAAAAATTAATGATGAAAAAATGAAATGAAAAAAATGAATGAAAAAATGAATGAAAAAAATGAAAAAAAAACACGAAAGCTTAAACCAGATGGAGGACCAATGACTTGGAAAGAAGATGTACGAAGTGACCGAGGAGAATGCTTGAGAATGCATGCATGAGGAGAGCATGGAATAGGCCATCCATGAACGTTGACCACACATCAAACTGGGAAAAGATGTAGACTTGCAGGCAGAAAAATTATTGCGCACAGCTAGCGACCTCGAATATAAATTATATCATTCAATGCATCGATTAAAATGACCATTAACTGGCAGTTAGAGGAAAGCATCTGAATTTGCTCCTCGGATGAGGAGAAATTCTTTTGCAGTTGAAATGAAAAAAGGAGAATGAAGATTTAAGAAGAGAAAATAACGCTCACTGACTTTAATCGACAGAAAGCAGTGCAAGAGCAGATATCAGTAGTGGTGTTCACCAATAAAGCCATATTCGTTGAAGTGAACACAGAGAACAAAAAAATAGCTAGTGGCTTTTAAAGCGTGTTGATAAGACAATAGTTGTAAAAGAGTAATGAAATGAGCAAACGAAAAATCACGTACAATTGATTAGTATCTAGCATTGAGCGTATAATAGCAATGTAGTATTGAATATAGCTGGTATCATGCTTATGTAGCCACAAAATCGCAGATGAGGATGAACCAAGTACATGGCCATATCCACAGCTATAGTCATATTCATAGTACAATAGAAGCAAGCTCTTATATCATCATCATTATTCACATTAGCATCAAAAGACTAGCACATTGTCGCTTGCTGTTGCTCTTGTTGGTGATCAGTATCAGTTTGAGTTTCATTGGGCTCATTGAATGTATGATGTGAAGCAAACAGTGATGTGATGATGATGATGATTATGCTCACAAAAGTTGTCGACTTCGATTCAATTCGTTTTCACTCGATTGCAGTCGAATTGAGCTGATTTCAGTTCAATTCGCCTTATCCACTAAAGTGCATTTGTTCAAAAATTCATTTCGTTTAGTCGGTGCCCACTGTTCTGCTTTACATAATTAGCAAAGCGCTCACTGTCTAACTGCATTGACTGTTGCAAGCATCTATCTATCTATCTATCTATCTCATCTCTA